GGTGGTGGGGGGGTGTGTTGCGAGTTCGTGCTTAGTCATTTCAGGGCGCGGATTGTCCGCGGGAGCCAGCGCCGGGGGGAGCGGGGCGAAGGCAGCGAAGGCAGCGCCGGCAGCCGGTGCCCGCAGCCCCCCTGCCCGCAGCCGGTGCCCGCAGCCTCCGGCTTTGTCTGCCCCGCTCCGGCTCGGGGTGGCTTCTTCTCCTCCCTCTCTCCCTCCCTCTCCCCGCCGTGGGGGGGTACCCCGTTATCAGGTGCAGAAAGTTAGCATCCTTGTGCAATGGTACCCGGGCTCTTGTGAAAAGGTGTGAGCCGGCTGCCGCCGGGATTTGATCGCTCCCCTATGCGCCTCCCTTAGCGATCCCGGTTATTCCGTGCCGGGGGGATGTGGCAGGGGATGAGATCTTCGCCAACTTCTGCTCTGGCGTTTCCTAAAACTTGTTAGCAATTGGCGGGCTTCTTATTAGGAATAATCTGCCGCTCGCTATTAGCTGTTAAATGAACAACGGTCGCCGCTAATGAAATGTTTGGAGCGTTTCACCTGGCTTTTATCGTGCTGCTGGTGATGAGAAGTGGGATTCTGGGCCCTCGTGGCGTGAGGCAGAATTTTAAACCCACCGAGCAGGTGTCCTGCAAGCCTTGGGTGGCGTTCAGGCAGGGATGCACTGGCCCTGCATCCCGCTTCCCTGGTGGTCCCGGGATTACGGGTCCAAAGAGCTTTCGGGTGGGAGCTGACACAGGATGTGAGAGGCCACCAGGCACTAACACGGGGCTCACAGTCTGCATCTGGGGGGGAGAGGGGGGAAGGAAGGAAGGAAGGAAGGGCATCAGCGTTAAGAATCGGGGACGATGACACTTGTCGGTGAACGGCACTTTGAGAGAGTTGGGGGAGGAAAACATGAATGAAAGGGATGTTGAGGAGAGCACCCGACGCACGCTGTGCTGGTGGTGTATGGACCAGGCACATGTCTAAGACCACACACAGCTTCCTGCTGTCTCTTCTGAACCTCTCTGGACTTTTTAATGACAAATAGCAAAGTAACAGTAACAAGGGCTCCATGCTGCCAAGGGAAACACAGGGCAGCGTATCCCAAACAGGTTCAGGGCCTTGTTTTGGTGGGATGGGAACTTCCCCATCTGGGAAATCCCCCTCGTGTTGTGCTGTGATATTCGTCCTCAGAGCCAGAGAACAGGACTTGGCCTATTGTAGTTACTAGAACAGATGTAGCCTTAGAGACTGTAACTTAATTTTGGAAATATACTGCCATCTTTTTGGGGAGAGATGATTATTTTATCTTTTATATACATGAATACTGACAATTTTGGAACGGGTAGGTTTTTTACTTGCAACTCAAAGGACAAATGGGGTTTGGAGGCTTTCAGAAAGCCTCCTGATTTAAAATTCCTGGTTTGCAAGGTGCCAAACATCCTTGACTGTCATTCAATTGATCAAAACACTTAGCAACTGTTAGGACTGAGAATTTTTTGTTGTGTGGGCCATTCCCAGAGAAGCCTGTGAAGCCCAGAATGAACAGAGTCAACCACAAATTATGGAATATGTGCTTCTTAAAAGATATTATTATTTTTTGCTTCAGGAACAAATAGACAAAAATTACATTTAAAGGGAAATGGAAATAAAATGTATTAAATCTGAAGAAGTAAAACTAGATTATATTCTAATGAAAAATTATGAATATTTTAATTATCTTACCGGACTTTTAAAAGTATATATTAGCAGATTCTGGAGTTGAATGGGTCAGTTGTGGACTAATTGGAAATAGAAAATGTAGACAAATACATATATAGATAACATATATGGAAATACAAAGTTCTGCACAGGGAGTGGAAGAACACTATACAACAGCACAGGCTGGGGACTGACTGAGGGCAGCATTTTGCAGAAAAGAACCTGGGTGGCCAAGAAGTTTCCGTCTGCAAGGTGCCATTTGGGCAAAGAAGGCCAGTAGCATCCTGGGCTGTGTTGGCAAGAGTGTGGCCATCAGGCTGAGGGATGTAGCTATTCTCCCTCTGTGCAACAAACCTTGGAATTTTATGTCCAGTTTGGGGTTCCTCAGTGCAAGACATACTGGGGAAAGTCCTCAATCCCTGGAGGGGTTCAAGACTGGGCTGGATGGGGCTTTGAGCAACCTGGTCTAGTGGGAGGTGGTGTCCCTGCAGGGGGGTTGGAACTGGATGATCTTTAAGGTCCCTTCCAACCTAAACCAATATACGGTTCTATGAAGTCCAGTGGAAGGTCATCAAGATGAGGAGTGACTGACATATGATGTATAAGGAGAGGGATAACTGAGTTTTTCAATCTTAAAAAGAGAAGGTTTAGGGGAAAAAGTTACTGCTGTCTCCAGATACCTCAGGGGAGGGTATAGAGAGGTGCAGGCAAACTCTTCTCAGAGATGCACAGTGGTAGGACAAGATGCAATGAATGCAAGTCACAATATCGAATTCCAATTAGAAATTAGGAAATAAATATACACCTGAAGAGTGGTCAAACGCTGAAATAGGTCCAGAGAGGCTGTGAAATCTCCATTCCTGGTGATGCTCAACATTCAGCTGGACAGTACTGTGAGTGGCCGGATCCAACCCTGAATTTGGCCCCTCTTTAATGAGGCTGTGACTAGGTGATCTCCAGAGATCCCTTCCAACCCAGGTCATTCCACCATTCCGATTCTGTAATCTTCAAGCACATTGGCTGAATGCACCAGATATTCTAGAGGTGACTGACTGTTGTTATTTTTAAGGACAAAGTGCTGTTTACTTTACACAGATCAGTAAACCCATTGCTTTCCTCAGAACTGTTGATATTTATAAAGCCAGTGGAAGGCTGGGATCTGCAGTGAGTGGGTAATGTTTACGGAATGATCACATCTATGAAACTCTCTAAGAACAGGATCTACACTACAAAGTCAGGATTATCTCACATCCGCACTGATGGAGCCAGAGGAATTAAAAGTGACAGGACTTCTCTAGATTTAGCAGGGTTGCCTCCAAAAGTGATGAGTAAATGCTGCTTGCTGCTAAATATGATTTACTGGAAGTACCTTCCAATTAAAAATATGTAGATGCTCGTTGGAGGCTGGGAGGGAATTCCCAACACAATCCGTGCCACTGCCTGTGTGCACCAAGTAGCATCTGCTCTTTGGGACAGGGGGAATGGACCCATATTGTGAATCTGCATGCAAATCTTTTGAACCTCTGCACTTATATCTGGCAGAAAAACGGCTCAGGAGGTGTTTTTGTTGAGCATACTTAATGCATACACGAGAATTTCAGTCTACAGGGTAGGTGGAGCTGCTAGGTTAAACAAGGATTAAATGAACACGTATACACCAGCACTGAAGGCTCTGCTCAGTTGCCAGCCAGACTGCTCAGTAAGTGTGCATCCTGTCAAGGCAATTTCTAACACTCAGGTAATCATCTCTTAATTTTCATTTAATGTCCATCAACTCCAGCTCACACTTTTTTACATCCAGACATGCTTGTTGAACACACTTGCAGACCACCCACTCCTCTCCTCGAAAAACAAAATGTTCAAATGTGAACACAGTTAGAAGCACAGAGTGTGAGGTTGTTTTCACACCCTCGGAGCTCATCCACACATCCGAGTCTCACTCTAGTCCTCTACTCTAGTCCATCTGCACTGTGATAGACTCTCATGATGTCCCACCTCTGGCTCGAGTGTCCTGTGGTGGTAGAAACGTCATTTTGGGTGCAGGGAGGTGGAATGCTGACCCAGAGCTCTTCATGGACATGCACCAGCTTTTACAAAACTTTCATCTCTCAGTCTAATTCATTCCATAAAAACGGTCTCAGGTCCGGGGTAGTAGCTGTAACTGGGAGGAGGACTGAGTGATACCCTCCCTCTCTAGTGGTCCATGAGTTAGAGCATTTATTTGGGGCATGGGAAATCAAGGTTTAAAGCATCCCAGCTCAGACGATGGGTTTGAATCATGATGCCTCATAACCCATGTAAGCAATTTAATTGCCAAGTGGCTGGCTGCTCTGGGTAGCTCTCTCTCGGGTTTCTTATGTTGAAGCTGTTTAATAATCACCTGTTTATTGGAGCATGGATTTACCTGAGGTTTTCTAACTTCCCAGCCACAGCAGCTGAAAGATGGAGTCAGCCTTTCTCTCCCAGTAGCATGTAATTACTTACAGCAAAGAGGAGCAATTCCTCCTGATTGAGAAGCAGAGATTTATCTTGCTGTGTGTCAGTAGGACACTCAGCAGGACAGTGGGAGCACATCGGGGCAGGAACAAGGAGGACCTGAGTGTCCCACATCCCCAGAGTGCCCCAGTTTGCCAAACTGGGTTCTCTTGCTCCTGATGCTTAGGAGGAACTTCGAAAAGTCTCACTGTCTTGGGGCAGAAGTTGAAACAATGAGTTGATATCCTGTTGTCTTTTTATTTGTATGGCTGGAAAACTACTCCTCACCCAGCCTCTAAGAGCAGGTGTCATTCAGTTTAGGGCATCCAAGCTTTCCTTTAGGATTTCTCCCCGATTGTATGACTTCGGTGACATACCTAGAGTGTTGTTTAATTCCACAACAGGAACAAAGATGAACAAGAACAAAAGCTGTTCAACAGGTCGGCCACTTTGTGTACCCCTCTTGCCTAGAGCACAGCCCTCTCTTCTGTAAACTCCCTGGTGAGTGTCTCAGTCCTTGTGTCTCTTGAATTCGGCCACAATCTATCACACAGCCAGCCTAAAGGGAGGATGGACTCTGGTACCTCACGCTCCTGTGTATGTCTCAGTAAATGAGCTGCCAGGAGTGTT